TCAAGGTTTTCATTTACCTTGTGGATTGTGTCAAAAGAGGGAATTTTGGCTTTGGAAAGTCTTAATTTGATTTGGTTTTGTTTTATGGTTTTGGGGTCTAAAAGTAGGATATGAAAATGTATGAAGAAGGGACTGAGCAAAAATTGGGTGCTGACATTTACGATTTTTGGTTTTATATTATGTTATAATTTTATTTAAAATATTAAAAAATAGTTTTCACCAAGAACACCACTGTGTATTCTTGTTCTTCAAATCACAAAAATAAAAGGAATGCATAGAATGGAAAAAACAAAAGCATTAAAACAATATACACTAGATTTTTGAAAGAAAAAAGGGGAAAACATAAACAAGATTTACCTTTAAGAATAAGAAAGAGTAACCAAGAGTTGCTAGAGTAGAGAGACAATGAGATAGAGAGAATAATGACAAGGCAACAAGCCAACGACCAACATCCAAAAACATATCGTATGGTACTGTGGTGGAGATGAGAGAAATAGGTTTTAAATCAAAGGAGGTGAATCTTCCATTTAACAATTTAGGTGCTCCTTGTAGATAGATATACACAAAAATCAGGTACTAAGATAGAAAATCTAAGATCAAAGAGAGAGATAGAGTCTTCTCTATGCATTTACTATTAAGGGATGAAAATCGTTGTTCCAAACTTCAAATGTTCCATGCTAGATAGAGATGGGAGGGAAAATAGTTATGAACCTAGGGACTAATTAGGGTTTTATTATGACTTTTAACTCTTGAGTGGTTAAGATAATTCCCCAATTTGGGTCAGTGTCAAGGGGGGGTGGAAGATTCCTAATTCGGGGGGATGTTGTTTATAGGGGAGCGGGGAATAAGGGAAAATAATTTCCCAATTCTAAATGAATATGGGAATAAATGAATAAGTGGAGTGGACTTTAAAAAGGCCTATAACAAAATTTGAATTAAGAGGAAAGTCTTAATAGCTTAAAAGTTTATTAAAGGTTAAAACACACACACACACACATCTCTCTCTCTCTCTCTCTCTCTCTATATATATATATATATATATATATATATATACACACACACACACACACACTAGGCCATAAGAGGAGGAGACGTGGTTGCATGAGAAAAGAGTAAAAAACATCTACACATATGGGGTTTGGGGCAATGGTAATTTGTCCTTTCTCATTTTCACTTTATCTCATTGGGTTTGATTGAACTCGACTGGTTGAACCGCTTGAATCGTCATCCATTCAAGATTCTAGGTCCAGTTTGAGTAAAACCTAGAGGAAGATAAAAATCATTGACTTCATCAAAACCATCCAACGTGGATGATTGGACCGTTGATTCGTTCAACCTAGTGACTGGGTAATGAGTTGCACACTTCGAGAGGCCTTAACTTTGCACTCTGATGTTCAATTGAGGTGATTTTTTATTTTGGGTAACTTTTCGAGATCTATACGTCCCAAGAAGCCAAAAGGTGCCTTGTTCTGTTATTTTTGCCAAAAACCCTTTTTTGGCTTCAAATTACAATTTTTAATATTTTTACAAATAAAAAATTTAAAACCGAACTAAAAAATGTTTAGGGTTGTCAATAGGTTAGGCTTGGTTGAACTTAACTGGTTGAACTGCTTGAACCATCACTTAGTGAAGATTTTGAGTTCAATTTGAGTAACCCGAACAGTTGGATCATTGACCCGTTCAACCCAGTGACTAGGTCACAGGTTGTATGCTAAATGTGTATACGAACTTCAAAATTTTAATATTGTTTTATAAATAAAAAATTTAAAATTGAACTAAAAAATATTTAAGGTTGTCAATAGGTTGGGTGTGGTCCAATTTGTTAAACTGCTTAAACAATCACCCAATCAAGATTTTGGGTCCAGTTTGAGTAAAATCTAGTGGGAGGTAAAAATCATTGACTTGGTCAAAAACTGCCGGACCCAAATGGTTGGAGCGCTGCCCCGTTTGACCTAGTGACCATGTCTCGGGTTGCATACTAAATGTGTATGCAAACTTTGGGAGGCCATAACTTTGCACTCAATGTCTGATTAAGATGATTTTTTTTTTTAAATTTTGGGTAACTATTTTGGCCAAAACCCCTTTTTTCCCTAAAATTGTATTTTTTATTTTTAAAAATAAAAAACTTAAAACTAAATTAACAAATATTTAGGGTTTTCCAATGGATTGGGTTTGGTTGAACCCGACCAGTTGCTCTACTTGAACAATTACTCGGTCAAGATTATGGGTTTGGTTTGAGTAAAACCTGGATGGAGGTAAAAAATCATTGACTTGGTAAAAAAATGTCTGACCCACATGGTTGGATTGTTGACCCATTCGACCCGGTGACCGGGTTATGGGTTGCATACTAAATGTGTATGCGAACTCCAGGAGGCCATAACTTTGCACTCCAATGTTCAATTGAGGTGACCCTTTTTTATTTTGGATAACATTTCTAGATCTATGTGTCCCAAGGAGCCATATGTGCTTTGCACTTCTATTTTCTCAAAAAAAAAAACTTTTTTAGCCTTAAATTGCAATTTTTAATATTGTTTTTACAAATAAAAAATTTTTAATATAAAATAATACATATATTACATGTAGAACATAATTGTACATTATTTATTAAAAAAAGCTTGTTTATACATACCTATACACACACACGCACAAATGTTTGAATTTCCATATGGTTGACATGGCACAACCTAACCCATATGTTTGAATTTTCATACCTATACATAAGAATGGCAATGGGGCGGGGATTATATTCCCTGTCCCCGACCCCGATTTTGAAATTAACCCCCATCCCTGTCCTCGATCCCCGTTGGGAAAAAAATTTGTCCTCCATCCCCGATCCCCGATGGGGATGGGTTCCCCATGGGGACCCTAATCCTTGAAATGTTTTCAGATAAACATATATATTTTTTTAAAATTATATAATAGTATATTTAATATAAATAACATTACATATATAATCAGGGTCAGGGTGGGGCGGGGATCTCAATCCCCATCCCCGCCCCGCCAAAACAATTTCCATCCCCGGTTGCATTGGGTCGGGGAAGTCAGGTCCCCATCGGGGATGGGGAAAATGCCATCCCTGCCTATACATACCATATGTTTGAATTTCCATATGGTTGACGTGGCACGACCTAACCCATTTGACCCTGACAGTCAAACCAATGACTTGTGACCTAGAGGAAAAATGGTTTGACCTTTAGTTTGGTTTTTAAAACATTGGCTTGCACCCCAGTTCCAATAAAGTGAGGCTTGGTGTTTTGGGCCCAAGCCTGAGTTGAGCCTAAAGGCCTAAATTCTTATCTAAGCCCGACCAAAATTGGGTTTGGTAGCTTGACAGCCGATTGACAACTCAAGCTTGAAAAAAAAGTCAGGCTTGGTGTTTTGGGCCTGAGCCTTAGCCCGAGGGCCTAGATTCTTATCCAAGCCCGACCAAGAGTGGGTTGGGTAGGTCGACGACTTGTTGACAACTCAGGCTCAAAAGAAAAAAAAAAAAAAACTTAGGCCATGTGTTTTGGGCTTGAGCCTCTAAGCCCAAATTATTGTCCAAGCCCAACCAAGAGTGGACTGGATAGCCCAAAGACTCGACCTAGCCTGTTGGCAACCCTTAATTAATTTGTTGTTGGGACGAGATTGGTGTAGGCTATCTCAAACCAGACTCAACCTATTGATGACCTTACATATTGGGGCATTGGGCTTTGGAGAGAAAGAGATAAATAAATAATTTGCTAGTAAATAAATTACTATTTAATTTAATAATTTAGTAAATTCAATAAATAAAAAAATGATGGATGATAATTTACTTAATTTATTAAAATAAATAAATGAMTAATTTAATTTAGTAAACTAAATAAATAAAAATAATTTATTATTGGAATGGGAGAGGTACATGTTATACCAACTAGACTTATCATGGATTGGGTAGCCCGATAGTTTAGCCCAACCTATTAATAACACTAAATTAATTAATTAAATAATTTGAGATAGCGCTTACCAATCTTGTGTTGATAATACATAAAATTTTATTGATTTATTTACTTATTTTAATAAATTATTTAATTAGTTAATAATTTAGTAACCTAACAAATTATTATTGCTAGAAAAGTAAGACATAGAATCGTGTATATATTTATATAAATTTACTCTTTCATTTGATTGTCTATCTATCTTATTTATTTTACTAAATTTATTTATTTATTAAATTAAATTAATTATTTACAACTATGCTATTATATAAAACAAAAATACAATGACAATTATTTATTTATTGTTTTTTTGTTAAATTAAATAAATTATTATTCCATAATTTTTTATTTATTTTAAATAATTTTTTTTCCAATAAACTTTTAATTAAAAAATTTACCTTTCTTAAATTTTTTGCTATACAATAATTTACTTTGACAAGCCACTTACCGTCATGCAAGGCCCCTCGTAATATATAAACCTATATGAAAACCGAATTTTTGGAAAAAAACCGAAACCAAACTGATCGTTCGGTCCCATGAGCACCCCTAAAATTCGGTTTCCCCTTTGAATCATTCGTGTTATTTGAAGAGACAAAGTCTTACGATGTAGGACCGACCTATCTAAATGCGTTCGAAGTTTCCAAATGTCAACGAGAATCGTAGCCACGGCCACCTCGGAGAATGAAAAAATTTATCAATCTGCCTTAACCGCGGTTGAGTTTGGCCATTCTGTGGTTACGAGTGTTGACGGGAGTTAGCTCACACGCTTTGTACGCGGATTCTACATCAACAAGACAACAACCACTTATAAGACAAATTTGCCCTTGTCTGATTCCAGAATGACATCAATACCTAGAATTTCAAGGGACTCTCTCGAATCTCGACTGGTGGTGGACCCTGGACCGTCCTCCAAGGCTCCAACCATCCAGACCTAACAAGGGCAATTTGGTAGATTCTGTTAAAAACGCGGCTGTTTTGTCTTATCTACAAGGCTAAAACCTAGAAAGTGATGACGCCGGACTTTTTATTCGAGAAGCAACCGTTCGAGTCGGTTTCCCGCGAAAGAAGCTTCAATGTGCCTTCTCTAAAACCGCATCTATATACATCTACCCTCACCGGACTTCTCTTTTTCGTTCCGAAACTATTCTTTCCTCTATCTCTCCGATCCGTTTCGCCGTCGATAATTCTCTGAAGTCTGATCCAAACATGGAATACCGGACCTTGGATATCACCGTCATCTCTGCAAAAGATCTCAAGGACGTCAATCTTTTCTCCAAAATGGACGTTTATGCCGTCGTTTCCCTCTCCGGTGACTCGCGGTCAAAGCATAAAACCCCCATCGATAAAGACGGTGGTACGAGCCCCTCTTGGAATTTCCCCATGAAATTCACTGTCGATGAAGCGGCAGCAAAGCAGAACCGTCTGATGCTCGTCTTTGAACTCCGATGCGATCGAAGCCTCGGCGATAAAGATATCGGACAAGTCCATGTACCCGTCAAGGAGCTCCTCGATAACACCGGAGACGGGAAGTCCGCCCAATTTGTTAGCTATCAGGTTAGGAAACCGTCTGGAAAACCCAAAGGCACGTTGAATTTCTCGTATAAATTCGGCGAGAAGGTCACCGCACCCGTGACGGCTCTCAAGGCAGAAGAACCCGTTACGGCGTACCCGGCTGGGACAAGTGCGCCTTATCCACCTCCGGGGCCGAGTGGGGGGTATGCGCCTCACGGCGTTGCAAGTTATCCTCCACCACCGGCGGGGCCGTATCCACCACCGGGAGGATATCCGCCGCCTGTGCCTGGGTATGGGTATCCGCCACCTGGGGGGTATCCACCGCCTGCGCCTGGGTACGGCTATCCACCGGCCCCGGGGTACGGGTATCCGCCAGTACAACAGCCACCGAAGAAGAAGAATAAATTTGGGATGGGATTGGGAGCGGGGTTGCTTGGAGGAGCACTTGGTGGGCTCTTGATCGGAGATATGGTCTCTGATGCGGCTTCTTACGATGCTGGGTATGACGATGCTGGTGGTTTTGATTTTTGATATTGTTTTTCTTCTCTGGTCTTAGGCTCTGTTTCTTGAGTATGTAATTTCTTCTTTCTTCGTTGAGCTTGTTAATTAGAAAAACCTCGCTTTGGTACACTGTAATTACAATGTTCATTGATGACTTCTATTTAACCTTTGCCTGCGTAAACAGTTGCGACGACTTTGGACCCTTTGAGGTCGTCAAAGTAAAAAACAAAGAAAAATGGCTGGAATGCTGCATTATTACCCTCCTATTAAATGTCAATTTGAACAGTTTGGATGGGCATGGGCTGATGTTTTCTCAAACAGTTCAGAATTCAGATGGGGCTTTTCTGTTCGAAGCACCCCGACTTGGGGATATATATTAATTTCGGCAATTGACAGTAGCTTATGAGTTCTGACATTGATGAGGCATAAGGTCGAACAGAAAGGAATCAACTTAGAGGTTGCTTTGCTCATGCACTTGATTCATTCATTTAAATTCTTGAAGAGGTCTTCTTAACATGTGATATTGGTAGATTGACAAAACAGAAGGGCCCTTGATGTTTGTCCTATAAATACTCTTCTGGGTTCCAGTGTTCACTGACACTTTTTTTTTTTTTTTTTCTTCCACATTTTCCGTGGAGCCTGACTTGCTTGAACCGAGAACTTGTCAAAAGTTTTATCACTTACTAATTGCTATTTGCTAATGACCCAGTAGCTGGTTCTGTCCTCAGCCACATTGCCGTTGACACTCCCTAATAAGTTTTATATTTTGGGGGGAATTCATGAACTTCACAAATGCTACATCGAAGTCTTAGTTTGGGAAGAGTGGAATAGCAAAATATTTCTGACCTTGCATTTTTACTCACTCCGAAGGAGTCTACAGGAGTAAAAATACAAATGTGGAACGAGTACAAAATATAAATATCTACAATATAAATACATAAAAATAATACAAAAATACAAGGTTTGCGCATCCGGCTCGTCCAATGGCGGGCCTACACGTGCCAGTCGGCGCGGTTCAGGGCAGAACCAATCAGGGCCCAACGCAAAGCTGAATTCTGCGGGCCTCGTGGAACCAACTGCGTGGGGTCACTTGGCAGCCTTAGATGGCTGCCTCCCCGTGTACGAACTCCGTCAAAATCTTGACTGTTTGAGTTCTGCCATGATTAGACCTGTTCATGGGCCGGGCTTTGCTTGGCTCGGGCTTTTGCTCTTTATTAACATAAATTTTTTAAGCCCGAGCCCGGCCCGAAAAAAAGCCCGAAGTTTGGGTCCGAGTTCGAAGCCCGACTTGGGAGTCTGAGCGCCGGTGCCGTCTGAGAGAATGGTGCCTGTTGAGTTTGCCGATTCTAGAGAGTCTAAGAGTGAGAATAGAAACCTAGAAAGTGAGAAAATAGAAGATGACAATAGTGCCGGAGAGAGAGAGAGAGAGAGACGATCTAGATCTGGTGGTGCCAGTTGTCAGTGCGGTGGTGCCTGAGTTTACAGAATGAAAACGGTGCGCCTAGGTTCTGGTGGCACCGACTGGAGAGAGAACTGAGAAGATAGAAGACCTAATTCTAAGAAGAGAGAGAACTGAGAATGAGAAGAGAGAAGATGAAAACGGTGCCAACTAGAGAGAGAGAGAGGGAGAGAGAGAGAGATCACCGCCAAAGAGAGAGATGACTAGTTCTGGTGGAGTTGGCCGTCGGTGACTGAGTTCGCAGGTGCAGTTGGGTTCACCGGTTCTAAGAGTTGAGAGGGAGAAATGAGAGCCGCTTCTAAGAGTGAGAGTGAGAAAGGAGAATGAAAAGAAAAAATTTAAGTATTTAGGGTTAGGGTTAGGTAGTTTAGGAAAAGTCAGGCTCGGGCCAGGCTTTTTTAACAAATCCCGAGCCTAGCCCGTAAAATAGTCGGGCTCAGGCTTTTAGGCCCGAGGTCAAACCCGCGGGCTAAAACACATGCTCAACAAGCCCATTGTTCTCATAATATCTCAGGATGCAAAATACTATATTCCTTTGGCTCAATTTAAAAAGAATACAAATATAAATATGTATAGTATAAATGTATATAAAATAATAGAAAATATATGGTTTTGCACTATATATTTGTATTATACTCCTTTCAAATTGAGCTTTTCTAAGAAATAGATCCTATGCAGATAACGTCTGCTTGCTTATCACAAAAAACCTGCAATTACGTGGATTTGTTCCCACATCTATAGGGCTGTCAATGAATCAGGTTCAGGTAGAATCAGAACCGACCCAATAAGAAATACTAAGAGCCTGGAACTGAACCAGACCCAATAAGGTCAAATATATAATCTGAAGACAAGAATTGGGACAATCTTGTTCCTGTAATCAGAACCGAACCCGATAGGGTCATATATAATCTGAATATAAGAATTGGGACAATCCAGTTCCTGTAAGAATTGAGCTCGGATCTCCCATCCACATCCCTACCTAACTACCCACGTGACACTACAGCTTCGCAAGTTGACTTGGTCATGGCTCTCAAACTGTCAAACATCCGGCATGTAATCGTTTCCTTTATTATTATTAAGTTGGAAAAACTTTGGCTGTCGGGGCCAACAGCCTTTCCTATTGAGATTCTGGGAATGCCACGGTAAATTAATAATTGCTTTTTAATTTATTTTGAGTAAAAACAAAAGAATCGGTATGAATAGATGAACTGCCGTGAATGTGCTGAATCTAGAAGCTTTCTCAATAGGAAAAGCTGTTGGCCCCCAACAATCAAAGATAACTCTTTCTTTAGGCTGTGTATGGTTTGAAGCAAAAGGTAGAAAAATCATACAAGGTTTGTATAGGTTTTTCTTCATTTTCCTACCTTTTCTTTCAAAGAAAACACAACCTTGTTTCTTATTTCCTAAAAAGATATCTTAAGCTATTTAAACTACATTTGTTTGGTTACAAGAAGCTCATCTTAAACTACATGTATGGCCTATGCTGATCTGTCAGAGGTATGGTTTAAAAAAAAAGAAATGAAAAAATATAAAAGTTAAAATAAATTAATAAAATAAATAATAAATTAAAAATCTTAATTAATTTTATTCTATAATGAATTTTGATGTATATAATTGTTTGTATATAAAACAATATCAGTTTGGACAATATCTATCGTATTAATAGGCAAGTGAAACATGGAAAACACTTGTCCATGTAAACATATTTAGCTAGTTAAGTGAAAACGAACGAGAATACTAACATCCTTTAACTGCCCTCTTGTTATGTAGCCCGTTTTGAAAGCAATTTATACTTTTTTTATTTGGTAATAAACAAAGACATTTATACTCTGGCTCCATATTTTGAGTTTCAGTTTATTAGGAGTTCGGATTTCTTGCACATGGCATCCTGCCCAATAGCAGCGTGCCACATCAGCATTGAATCATGTGTATATTTTACACGTTCAAGGATCATAATTAACAGACGTCTTAACCTTTTCTCTTATCTTATTTTTTGACTTATTGGGTGCTTTGGCACGGTTGATGGAGTGATCTCTCCGTTTCCCTGGAATAGTATGAAGGATGTGAAGGGCTGAAATAGTCTGTTACAAAGAAAAAGGGGCAAAGCGACCCAATCGATCCATGAGAGATGGGTTCTTATTCTTTGTTATGATTAATAAAGTATTGTTTCTCCAACAGTACTAATTAAGTTTTACTTTCTTGAAGATAGAAAATTAATCCCACTCAAGCGATGTTAAATTAGTAATAGAGAGGATAAAGAATTTGAAGTGGTTTTTATTTTATCAACACTGATTTTGCGGAAACGTAGAAATGGGAACATGATTTTGTGACAAAAGAATGAAAATTTGGAAAAGAAAATGAAAGATAATAAATAAGAAGAATAATTCATAACAGAAAAACATGATTTAAGGCTGTCACATGTGACGTATACATATGATTTGATGTTATGTTTGGTTTGAAGGAAAAGATAGGGAAAGAAAGGGAAAAGTAGGGAAACCTTCCCTTCTCTATTTTTTCCTTGAAACCAAACACAGGATTAAGGCCTTGACTTGATGCCCTGACTTGAATGTTGATGTGATGACTCTCTTTGTCTTCTCCCTGCTTAGGCGAGGCGAGGCTAATTGTGGTTCTCATACGCTCATTATATGCCTAAGGTCCGGACCTCTTTCATAGTTTGATGAGGGCAGATTTGGCCCTCCAGTGAAATTGCGACACGTGACACCTCGTGACAACTAGGCAAACACCCAGGCAACAACTAACCAAGTTGGTGTCCCCTCGGGCACCAGTCTGGCTGGCCTGGCGTGACCTGCACGCGGCCAACGAGCGGCCCGCGCGACCTGGCACGGCCTGCGCGACCTG